TGTATACATGGTGTACAGTGGTGTATATACACTCAGCTACAGCCACAACACTGAGCAGAAGAAATCTTTATAAATATACCTAATACTGCCTTTGCTTTATTAATCAAATAGTTTTAACTTCTCAGGCACATGCAGTGTCTTGGAGATGTACAGGGATATCTGGAAACCAGAGGAGAATTCCTATACTACCAGTGAGCTCCTCTGCATCAGAAAGTAGAGCTTAGGACTAGAAAGTATGTTTATTCCCAGGTCCAAGGAAGCAGAGGAGACATTTCAAATGTTTCCGAGAGAAGCAAGCATCCTGCTGCTTGCTTGGCACTCACAATACCCAGTCTCTTTTCTATTTGTGAGGATAAAACTTCCAATGAAACTTTCGATTCGTGCACAGCAGAGAGAAAGGGAAAGGAAAGAAGCCATCAATACAATGTTCAAGGCAGCCTAGGTCTACAGTGAGGGAAGCAATTCCATATTTCCCCTGAGGCAGTCATGGCCTGACTTCCTCTTAAAGACAGCTCTCCTCCTGCCCAGTGCAGGCCATGTGAATCCCTCTGGAGCTATTACTACACATTAAAACACTTTTGGGGGTTTTGAGAGGCATTAAAAAAAAAAATAAAAAAAAACAAGTTCCTACTGTGTTGCCTGGGCTGGCCTTGAACTCGTGGTTATCCTCTTGCCTCAGCCTCCCAGCTGCTGGGATTATGGGCATGAGCCGACAGATCTGACTCAAGACACTCCTCTACACCATTCAGCCTGCATAGGATACTGCTTTCAGTCCTTCTGAAGAATAATAATCTCTCTACCTGATGTTAAAGCATTTGATAGATTGATAGCTCTTAATGGAGTATTGAACTTTTTGAAGATAAAGCAATAGATCAGAAGCCAGTTGGAACTGGATCTAATTGTACAAAAGGAAGCATGCTATACCCTAGGCCTAACAATTCAAACAGCAAATACAAACTGTTTATTAAGTTAAAAGTAAACATCTATTTAGACTTTCACTTTTAACCATAAGCCATAATAAATTCCAAACAGAGCAACTGCTTTTATAAATGGGGAGAGTTGACCCTGTGCATCACAGCATTCCCAGGGCCTCCCTTGGGGCTGGTGTGCAGCCAACTTGGAAAACGTTGCTGAACAGAAAAAAAACTCTAACTCGACTTCCAACTCTGCTGATCACTACTGTGCAACCTGGGCAAATGTTTCTGTGTCTCTGTCCTTCACATCTAGTTTATAAAGGGTGATTCAAAATGACTCCAAGAACATGAGATGAAGTTCCATACAAATCAGTATAAGGAGTCGGCACAGTAGCCTGTGCAACTGGGAGTGCAGCTCTTGGAGGCTAAGGCAAGAGGACTGCTACTGCTACAAGTTAGAGGCCAGCCTGAGCTACACAGCTACTTGAAGGCCAGCCTACACTACAGAGTCTCAAAAGGAAAGGGAAACAAAACAATAGCATTAGAAATCAAGATTAGAAAGCTGCTGTCATCCACATCACTGTTCTTCTACTATGCTTAGCATTAGTATTTTAGTGCTAAGAACAATGCCCACTCTTAGTAACCATCTTTATTTAATAAAGTAGACTAAATTATGGGAGCATACACTTTCCCTTGGGGCCTCAGTAAAATTGTTTTATTTTGGTATGGGGAAGTTGTAGCCCATAAACACATCTCTTCGGCCCTTTTACCAAAGAGGCCTGGCTGGCATCTCTACACTATGGAATAGGGGAAAATCTGTTTCACTGTAACTGTCAAGAAAGCCAAAGGCAAGACGCAGGCATCCATGAAGGGCTGGGCTGGGAGAATGGAGGCAGGAGGGCATGCTCCCAAGTACAGTCAGGGACTTGGAGTTGGAAAAGCCCTGGTGTGATGCTGAGCAAAGTATATACTTGCCATTTGTCTCCAAAACAGAGGTGCCACCCCTCCCACACAAAACATTACAATGAGGTGATAGACACAAAGCTCCGAGATGTCAAGTACAGGATAGCCAGACTGTCAGCTGGACTGTGAATACTTTTTCTCTTTTCCTCTTTCTCTCACCAAGCTATGGGAGGGCTGGGATGCAGTACAAAGCTTGCCTGGCAGGAACAAAGCCTTGGAATCCATCCCCAAAGATCACAGCCAAACAGACACATCTAAAGCTCTACTTTCCCTGACTTTTCTAACATTACTTCTCCCAAGGCCCTGGAGGAGAACCACTCAGGTTCAAGGAGAGGTTAGAGGACAAGAACTAGTCCGTCATATATCTCGTCCATCTAATGGCAAGGTATTGCTTCATGCCCCATGCTACTCAGCAAGCCCTGTAACCAGCACCATCCCTCCCAGCTGAAAGGACACACAGACGAGGCTCAGTGCTCTTTCTAGAGTCCTTCCCATAGAATGAGATGTGACCAGAGCTTCTGGGAGCTACATGGTGCTGCTATGCTGCCCTTAAGTTCCTGTCACACTTCCACTACAATGACTGAACCCAGACTCACACTGCCTCTGGTGGTTAACCTAGATTATCATCTTGACAGGACCTAGACTCAACTAAGTGAGACAAGCCTCTGAGCATGCCTGCGGGATACGATTAGGTCAGCGTCTAGGCATGCCTGTGAAGGTTAATGGAGTGAATGATCCCCTTAACCGTGCACAGCACCATTCTACAGGCTGGGTTCCGGGACTAAACAAAAACAAGAGTGATCTAAACTTCAACTTCTCTCTCTCCCTCCCGACGATGGACATAATGTGACCACCTACACAAGCTCTGGCTGCCATGACACCCTCACCATGACAGGCTGCATTCTCAAACTGGGAGCCAACTAAACCTTCCTTTCCTTGAGTTGCTTCTGTCAGCTTATTTTGTCTCAGCAAGACAAGTAACCAGCAGAGCCCACCACAAGTCAGGTGCTATGGGGACAAATTTAACTGTCTTCCACCTTATCTGTCACAACTGCCTTACACATAAATCTAGAATACAAAACAAAACTTTGTAAGTGTTAATATGAAGACATGAAGCTGCTCACACTTGTTAATCTCAGCCCCTCTGGTATAAGAAACTAAATAATGCATATCGTTACAATTTACAAATAAAGCCTCACACTGTTCATTCCGTTTGGCTCAAGTCTGAAGCACTTGGGGCCCTGGCTCGCACAGGAAGGGATGGGTGGCCCCAGCTCATAAGCAGCCCCTTGTTGTACCATTTTACATCACTCTTCCACTGCTTTGCTGGCCTCAGCATGAGACGCTCTCAGCCTATGAACTCAGCAAGTAACCATCACTTTGCCTGGCCTCCTGGAAGACTGAATTCATGGCTGTCCCTGGCAGTATGTGGCACAGACCTACAATTTCTATTAGAGTCCTATGGGATTTCCTCTACTTTCACCCCCTCAGATGGGAGCCTCAGATGGGCTCCCTACGTGGCCCAGGCTGGCTTCACATTCCTAATCCTCCTAACTCTAGCTCCTAAATGCTGCAATTACAGGTGTACACCACCACACCAGTACTCAACTCCAAATCTCCGTATCTTCATCGTGTCTTTCCATTTCTCACGCTCTGTTTAGCCCATTTTATATTTTACTTGGGAAGTATATCATTCTGTAAACATTATTATTCTTTGTAATGGTGCCTTGATATTATATACCGATGCACTCTGTATAATCTTATTAAAATGTGTATTATGTGTGTGTGTATATACACACTATAATACAGCAGTTATATATCGATGCACTCTGTATAATTTTATTAAAATGTGTGTGTGTGTGTGTGTATACACACTATAATACAGCAGTTATATACCGATGCACTCTGTATAATCATATTAAAATGTGTGTGTTATGTGTGTATACACACTATAATACAGCAGTTTCTCAACCTGTGGATCACAATCCCTTTGGAGTCGAATGACCCTTTCACAGGGGTCATCTAAGACCATCAGAAGGGCTGGAGAGATGGCTTAGAGGTTAGGAACACTGACTGCTCTTCCAGAGGTCCTGAGTTCAATTCCCAGCAACCACATGGTGGCTTGTAACCATCTATAATGAGATTTGGTGCTCTCTTCTGGTGTGCAGCATGCATGTAGGCAAAACACTGTATACCTGATAAATAAATCTTTTAAAAAAACAAGGCCATCAGAAAACACAGATATTTACATTATGGTTCATAACAGTAGCAAAATTATGGCTATGAAGTAGCAAGGAAAAGAATTTTATAGTGGGGGAGGTCACCACAACATGAGAAACTGTATTAAAGGGTCCCAGTATTAGGAAGGTTAAAAACCATGCTCTAATATGTATAGTGTGTGTGTGTGTGTGTTGGTGTGTGGGGGGGGGGGGGGGGGGGGGTGCGCGCGCACGCGCGCGTGCGTGCGTGCACACACAGAGGCCAGGAGAGGATTCAGGTGTCCTCTATTAATAGGAGGATTAATTAATTAATCCTCCTATTAATCTCTTTATCCCCCTGAGACAGTCCTTCCCTGAACCTGTAGCTTATTGTTCACTAGACTGACTGACCACTGAATTCCTGCTTGTCTCTCTCTGCCCTCCAATGCTGGGGTCAAAGGTCTGTGTGGCCACACCTAGCTTTTCCATCAGCACTATGGATGCAGACTTGGGTTCTCGTGCTTGCACAACAAGCACTCTGACAGACTTAGCCATCTCCCTAGCCCATTACTTGTACATTTTAAAATGCAAATTCTACTCCTTCACTAAACAGAGATTTACTAAGTACCAAACATTGGCCATCACTAAAGCTCTAATGAAGTTCATCTCACTTGGTTCAGAGTCTATAGGCTGTAATTGACAATAATAATATAGTCTACCCACTAGACTACAAAAAAAAACTAGGAAAAAGTAAAATGATTTACCTTGAAGTGGTAGTTAGAAAAAACAGAGCACAAGAAAATAAATACTTTAAATAGCACAATAAACTCAAAGTACAGTTTTTAAAAAAGGAGAAAACATCCCCTTTCTATCTATGACTTGTATCCATAATTGAGAATAACAACAACAATAAATATTTCCAAACCTCACATCCACTGTATTATTTGTTTCATGGTCAAACACTTCAAAGGCCTCTTTGATCTTCTTATGAAGGTCTGCCACTATTGCCTCTGCAAAATACAATGTAAACAAAATTAATTATTAATTCAATACAAAAATCTCAGTAACCTAACTAGAAATCTTTTGGGGGTTTTCTTTGTTTGTTTTGTCTGTCTATTTTGAGGCAGGGTCTCACTATCGCAATATATAGACCAAGCTGTCTTTCAGTTTTCTCAATGCTGAGACTCCAGGTATGTGCCATCTGGCCTAGCTAAAGCAGAAAAGTAAATAAGGAAGAACCTGAAAGAAGCTTGGTCTCTTGGTCTCCTTTATAAATCGTATGCCATGTTAACTCCCTCTGGAAATGCCAAAGAACAGATCTGACAATAGCAAGTTCAAGAAGGAAGGGGCTGTTCCGGTACAGTCCCTCATGTTGGGGAAGTCATGGCACCAAATATTTTTTCTGCGATATAACAGTAAACTTACTGCCAGGCATTGGTGGTGCACACCTTTAATCCCAGCACTTGGGAGGCAGAGGCATGCAGATCTCTGTGAGTTCAAGGCCAGCCTGGTCTACAGAGTAAGTGCCAGGATAGGCTCCAAAGCTACACAGAGAAACCCTGTCTCAAAAAAAAAAAAAAAAAAAAAACAGTAAACTTACTTCAACTTTCATCTTGTGTGTGGTGTGGCATGGTGGTGGTGGTGGTGGTGTGTGTGTGTGTGTGTGTGTACTCAAGAGTGTGTGTGTGTATATGTGTGTGCTCATGCCCATGCCAAACATGGAGCTCACTGTTTCAGATGGATTAGGTAGGCACACCCCAGAACCCACTTGTCTCTGCCTCTGCACTCCTGGAGTTATAGATGAGCCCTGCTTACCACCCCCGCCCCCGCCTTATATGTCTGCTAGGGATTCAAACCCAGGCCCTCTTGTTTGTACCACCTCTTTCAATTTCAGTCGTTGAGGCATCTCCCTACTGAGCAATCTCTGCAATTCCTAATTTTGATCTGAAATACACAGTGTACATAATACTAAAAGTCACCACCCAGTTCTCAATTGGAGACCTTCATTCTAGGCTCAACAAAAAAAGGTAAGACAACAAACACCATCTACTTATTAGGCCTGCTCATCACCTTTGTTCTGTTCTTGAGGAGGAGTGAAGGTAGGTGAGAGGCATTTAAACCCACCTGGGCATCTTTCAAAGACCTTTTAAAAAGGTGGGATTAAACTCACTTACATGAAATAGTGATGTAGGCAATAAACATTATTGAGAATGTGCTACATTCCAGACACTAACAAGGTCATACTTCCTCAACAAAAAGAACACCATTCACATATATATATATATATATATATATATATATATATATATATATATATGCTACATATTTGCTGACATATACAGTAGGTTGCATGCCCTTAAACACAGAAAAAAAGAGTAAGAGATGTGAAGAGTCCCCATGAGAATGCCGACCTTAGTGACAAGGTGACAGCTCCAGATAGGAAGAGCCTACCTGTAAATATCTCCAGAACATTTTCACACAGAGGGCACAGAAAGTGCAGAACAGCAACCTAAAAATCAGATGTTTTGAGCTGTTGGGTGGAGAGATGAATCCTTTAAGGATTTTGAACTTTCCTCTGAATACCACGAGAAACCACTGGAAGGTTCTAGGCACAATATTGACCTGATCTTCTTTTCACCTTTGTCACTGTGCTGAGAAGACACTTGAAGGGAAAAGGTAGTCACAAAGAGTGTCTAGAGACTGCTTCAGTATCTCTTTCAGATATGGTCACTGGTTGTCTCTATTGCTGTGAAGAGATACCAAGACAACAGCAACTCTTATGAAGGAAAACATTTAACTGGGGCTGGCTGACAGTTTCAGGGGTGCAGTCCATTGTCATCATGGCGAGAAGCATGGCACAGGCAGGTAGACATGGTGCTGGAGAAGGAGCTGAGAGTCCTACATGTGATCCACGGGCAGCAAGCAGTCTGCCACACCAGGCCTAGCTTGAGCATATAAGACCACAAGCAGTCTGCCACACTAGGCCTAGCTTGAGCATATAAGACCACAGAGCCCACCTCCACAGTGACACACTTCCTCCAACAAGGCCACACCTCCTAATAGTGCCACTCCCTATAGGCCAAGCCTTCAAATACTGAGTCTATGGGGGCCATGCCTATGCAAACCATCACAGTGGCTGAGACCAGAGACAGGATTCTGGTTATGATCACTAAGATGTGCTGACAGGTTTGATGTGGTGAGGGTCAAGACTGACTCCCAAGTGTTTCTATGAGGAAAAGAACGGGGCAACTAGAGATACATCTCAGTGATGAAGCACAAGCGAGGAGCTGTAAGATGTCGAATCTCATTTTTACACTGATACAGCCATGTCATCAAGCCTCAAAGTTTGTGAAGCAATATGTACAACATGACACCTAGAAAGGAAGCGAAGGATAATGTATGAGCATAGTTTATCACAAATATAAGAGCACCAAATATGGAATGAGACCTCATACCTGCCCCCACCTTAGGTAGAGGCCACAGGAAGGAGTAATAATTTAGAAGTCAAAAGAAAAAACTGGAAAAATTTTATAACACTCATTCTCTTTATTCTAATGCAACCACTAATCCTGTTGCCATATTTTCCTCCAATCTTTCTTTCTATGTAGCCTTTTATAGAGGGCATTTCATTATCACCATTCATTCACTCAAGAAGCATTTACTGGAAAATTACAAGGTGTCTAGCTCCAGATTAGAAGCTTTATAACACATAGAGGCATAGAGCAGAATACCTCAGTCTTTTTTCTTCCTTTCTTTCTTCCTTTCTTTCTTTTTTTTTGAGACAGGGTTTCTCGGTGTAGCTTTGGAGCCTATCCTGGCACTCGCTCTGTAGACCAGGCTGGTCTGGAACTCACAGCAATCCACCTGCCTCTGCCTCCTGAGTGCTGGGATTAAAGGTGTGCGCCACCACCGCCCGGCGAGTACCTCATTCTTAGAACTGAAGAAACCAAGGCTCACTGAGGTTCAGCAACTCAGCTAAGGTCAGAGTTCATTAGGGCAGAGGTGGATGGAATCCAGATCTTTCCTAGTGAATCCTGCTCCTCCCTCACTCTCACTCCATCTGACGTTAGTGTTCGTAGCATAAGAACTATAACCTGTAGTTCCTTCCTTTAAATGTTCTTTTCCAGACTTCGGCATAATCTTCCAACCTTAGCAGCATCATGGGAATACAACAAAATTTATTGCCATAATTAAATTTTACTATAATATGGCAAAAGCTGGCTAATTTTATAAACAAAACATGAATGTTGCTTCATTACTTAAATTTACACTTCTCTGATTACATGTGAATCTCAATAACAGCCCATGTGTGTGTTTGCCACCTGTTTTCAGTTATTAATTGTCAGCTTGTGTTCCATCCTCACCCCCTACCAGGATCTTCTATTATTCCTTAACCATTTGTGTGAGCTCCTTGGAATACAAAGACTTAGCCCTTGTCAAAAGCACTTTAATTTCTTTAATTTGGTTTTGGAAAATGAGAGCAGATGCTCTTGCTGGTCATCAAAACCATCCAATACCAACAGCAGGGCAAAGGATACAGGAGAGTTTAAATTAGCTAAAAATCATCTGAAAACCTTTATCTTCTCCATGAAAAATCAGTTAGTTGATATTGTTCTGTAATCTTTCACTCAAAGATACCTTGTGGGCCGGGCGGTGGTGGCGCACGCCTTTAGTCCCAGCACTTGGGAGGCAGAGGCAGGTGGATCTCTGTGAGTTCGAGACCAGCCTGGTCTATAGAGCGAGTGCCAGGATAGGCTCCAAAGCTACAGAGAAACCCTGTCTCGGGGAAAAGAAGAAAAACAAGAAAGAAAGCTACCTTGTAAGTATTCTTCCTTCTCAAAAGATGTTGTATTATACATCTTTGTGACTGCTTGGTATTCAATTAGAGGTTTTTATCAAAATTAATTCAATCAACTCCATAACTGTGGATATTTAGATTATCTTCATTAGTGAACAATCTTGTCCAGTTAATTTTTGTGCATTTGTCATCTATCTCATTGGGATTCAATGGTGGAGGAGGCTGGGGAGATGGTTCAGTCAGAAAAGTGTTCACTGGAAACCATGAGGACCTGAGTACAATCCCAGCAGCCATATAAAACTGGGCACAGCAGCGATGCTTGTAACCTCAAGTGCTCAGAAGGCAGAGACAGGAGGGTCCATAGGGCTTGCTCACCAGCAGTGTAGCTCCAAGCCTGAAAACATAAAGTAGACAGCAATAGAGGAAGACATCCGATGTTGGCTTCTGCTTGCCCCACCCCCCCACACACACACTCATGCATTCACACATGCACAATCGAGCATATACATACACACAAATTCGCGGGCACATGCACACAAAGACGTTGAAGTTATATGGAATATGAGAAAGGTGTTGCTGATGTTGTCGAGACAAGGTCTCACCTATCCCAGGCTGACTATACAGCAGAGGATGACCTTGAACGTCTGGTCCTCTTCCCACCACCTCCTGAGCACTGGGAGTTCAAGCAAGTGCCACCACACCCGGTGTAGGTATCAGGGATCTAACCCACTATTTCACCCATGCTAGGCAGGTACTCTACCAGCTGACCTACGTCCCTAACCCCAGGCAAGTACATATTAGTCATAACCATCAGAAATCAGATAGAGAGCCCACTGTTACCCACTCTGGAACGGAATTGAGGGCACTACTGGAGAAATGGCTTGATATGCCAGAAACCCAAAGGGTTGGCATCCATCTTAAAATGCATCCAGTTGGGATTGAGGAGCTAGTGGCTCTACGGGACTGTAACAAACACTCATCGTCACACATGTAAGCCACCTCTGCTCCTGTGTAGCTTCTAGCCTTTTAGCAGCAGCCAAGCTTGCTGTGTGGCTCTGACAAGTACTGTGTACAGATTAAATCTTTATCATTATTTTAAGAAGCACTGTTTGGAGACAAGTCCTCACTATGCTGCCCAAGTAGGTCTGTAACTCAAACTCCTCCTGTGCCCATGCTCTGATTATAAGTTACCACACCCACCCTTCAAATTAT